TGTTTCAAAGACTGAACTGATGTGTATTGCAGCAAAATAAGTTTGCTAGTCAGTGGAAGTGAAGTCTGGGAGGCTGGAATGTAGGAAGAACTGACATGATCTGATACAAGATAATGCCTGATTTTCATCTTACTCCAAACAAAGTACAAAAATATACTAACTTGGGGGAGGGGGAAATCATGCCCTCAGCTGTTATACAATGTTTCAAAGACTGAACTGATGTGTATTGCAGCAAAATAAGTTTGCTAGTCAGTGGAAGTGAAGTCTGGGAGGCTGGAATGTAGGAAGAACTGACATGATCTGATACAAGATAATGCCTGATTTTCATCTTACTCCAAACAAAGTACAAAAATATACTAACTTGGGGGAGGGGGAAATCATGCCCTCAGCTGTTATACAATATAATTAATTCAAAAATTGATTTAACAAATTTTCCAAAGGTAACTAGCTCTGTCCCAGCCTCATCCATAGGAAGCCTTTGGGTATGTGTACACTACAGCATTATTTCGAAATATCTTAATTCAAAATAGTTAATTCAAAAAAAGTTATTTTGAAATAACACTTCTATACACAAAATGCGATTCAAAATAGCTTTTTGCTAAATTGAAATAGCGTGTCCACACTGATTGGACACTGAATCGCATTTAAGGCCAGCTGAAACCAGTTCCGGCAGGGCATCATCCAGTTCTCAGTTTTCCCTGATTGCTTGCCTACCTCGCTGAGGAACAGAAAAGTGTTTTTCTCTCTGGCTGATAGGTTGCCCTCACTCAGGACACCATAGCACTCAGCACCATGGAGCCAGAGCTGCCCCTGGGCACTCTGGTGCTTTTTTTGGATGTTTTGCTGCAAGCCTGGCAGCAAGTCCTGGTCACTGCCTGGCACCAGCTGCAGCAGCTCAACCCCCAGGTCCTCTTCTGGACCCCCCTGGGGGCTGTGGAGGAGCAGCGGCCGGATGCCAGCATGCCCCGCCGCATCTAGCACCTGGACACCAGCAGCAACTGGTGGGACCGCATCATCCTGGAGCACTGGGGAGATCAACAGTGGACCCAGAACTTCATGATGAAGAAGGACGCCTTCCTCGAGCTGTGTGAGAGGCTCACCCCTGTTCTGCAGTGACGGGACATGCACATGATGGCCATTCCCCTCCACAAGCGTGTGGCCATCGCCCTACGGAAGCTCTCCACACCGGATAGCTACTGATCCGTCAGCAACCAGTTCGGCATGGAGAAATCCACAGTCAGAGCAGTGCTCATCCAGGTATGGCAGTCTCCCGCCATTGTGCCAGGGGAGCAAGGAGTGGATGGGCTGCACCAGGGAAAAGGGGCGGAAGGGGTGCAAGTCCCCTTCATGGGAGGGTTTGTTCTGTCCCAGAACGCGGTGGCCAGGATTGCAGGGAGAGGGGATTGCTCCTAGGGAGTGGGGGCGCGAGGCAGTGGTGGGGAACCCCAGTGACTCTCGGTAGTTTTCTGTGTCCCTCTGCAGGTGGTCAAGGCCATCAATAGAGTGCTGTTCCACAGAGTTATCTGCCTCACTGATGTGGATGAGGTCATCGAGGAGTTTGGCACCCTGGGCTTCCCCAACTGTGGGGGGGCAATCGACGGGATGCACATCCCCATCCGTGCCCCAGAACACCAGGCCTCCCTCTACATAAACCAGAAGGGATACTTCTCAGTCATCCTGCAGGCTGTGTCTGACCACTGGGAGCAGTTCGTGGACATTCATGTGGGCTGGTCCGGCAAAGCACATGACGCACGGGTGTACCGCAACTCCTCCATGTGCCAGAGGCTGCACGCCGGGACCTTCTTCCCCAACTGCCACATCAGGGTCAGGGATGTGGACATGCCTGTCTGCCTGGTGGGGGATGCGGCCTACCCCTACAAGCCTGGTTCATGAAGCCCTACATGGGACACTTCAACCCCTCCCGACAAGCCTTTAACGCTAGGCTCAGCAGGGCCCACATCGTGGTGGAGGGTGCATTCAGCCGGCTGAAGGCCCATTTTAGATGCATCCTCACCCGCCTCAACCTCTCCGAGCGGAATATTCTGCACGTGATGGCAGTGTGCTGTGTGCTGCACAACTTGTGTGAGCAAAAGGGGGAGGCCTTGGCTGGCCTGTACATGTAGCCCCACATGGCTGCCAGCCGGGAGGCCCATTGGGGGGCTGTCGGGATACGGGAGGCCTTGCGGGAGAGCTTCCACCCTGCGGAGCACTAAGAACCTCCCTGGTCTGCCCCACTGGAGGCTTGTGCCTCATTCCACCCTCATGACCTTCCACTAACCTCTCTTCCCCCCACTGTACTTCCTAATGTAAAATAAAAAACATGTTTTTTTCTTAAGCAGTCTTTATTTAACAAAACTGGGGGGCAGATGAAACTTTGGGGAGACTGGGGAAAGGAGGCAGGAGAGGGGAGGGAGAAACCTGGGAGGAGGGAGCTGGAAGGGGGAAGCTAGGGGAAGAAGGGGGAGGGGAAGCTCAGGGGTGGGGATCTTGCCAGGCCAACTTTCTCCCAGCACTGTGGATGTGGGGGCCTCAGCGTCCCTGGGGGGATGGGGAGGAGGGTGTGGAGGAGTGGGAGAGGAGAGGGGGAAACCTGAAAGGAGGGAGCTGGAAGGGGGAAGCAAGGGGAAGAAGGGGGAGGGGAAGCTTAGCGGTGGGGGTTTCGCTGGGCCAACTGTCTCCTATCACTGCAGATGGGGGAGCCTCGGTGTCCCCGGGAGGATGGGGAGGGTGTGGAGGGGGAGAAGGAGTGGGAGGAGGAGCGGTAGCTGGGGAGGCAGCAGGTGCTGGAGCAGCAGGAGGCAGCACGCTCTGCACCAGAGTCTGCAGATGGGCACAGATGGCGTGACCCTATGCAAGCTGCTGCCGCCGGAGCTCCAAATCTAGTTCCACCCAGCGGTCTAGGGTGCGGTGCAGGGGCTTGCAGTGCTCCCAGGTGCTGCTATCGGTACCCCTCCAGTGTTCAGCTGGTCCTTCTGCAGAGCCTTCATGTGCGGGAGCATGTCCCGGGTGGGGTGGTGCGCCCTGCACGTGCAGCTGGTGCGGCTGTGGAGAAAGAAGAGAAGTGGTCAGTTCTCCCTGGGGACACAGTGGGTGAAGCCCAGCCCCCCTGTGCAAGGTGAGGATGACAGTTCCCTGCACCATAAGAGCCGATGTGCTAGCACAGAGGCAATGGTCAGATTGTCCAGCTATCCCCTGGAGTGGGAGCTGCTCCAAGACCGCACCTATGCCACTGTGCTGTCTATAGTGTTGCTGAGGTGGGGGGGAGATGTCCCCTGCCTCTGTGTAGAGGGGGCTTGTGAAGGGAAGACATCCTGCTGTGTCCCACCCTGGGGTCAGGAGCATGTCATGTCTCTTCACACACACGTGTGGCTAACAGGCAAAGGCCCCTGTGTTGCAGCCTGCTGGAGCCACCTTCCCAGGGGTGGCACGGCACATGCTCGCATGTTCACAGATTGCTGCGTCATCCGTGGTAAGCAAGGCCCACGCTTGCAGTCCCTGGTCTCCCTCTCTGCCTTCTCTCCCCCGTAAGGGGACAGTGATGGCACTCACATGTTGTGGCCTCCCTGGATGACCCTGGTGAGTCGGCTGCTGGGACTTGGCAAGCACCGTGAAGGCTCCTCCTCTATGCCCTGGTCAGGGCCCTCTGCTCCCGGCTCGCTGCCCCCTGGGCTGCCATGGACTGTCCCACCCTCCAAGATGCGGTCCAGGGCCTCAAAATAGGGACAGGGGTGTGCCCCTGTTGGGGAGCTGCCCCATGTGGCCCTGGCATATCCCTGCCGCAATTCTTTAATTTTCATGCGCACCTGTTCTTGGGTGCACATGTGGCCTTTTGTGGCCATGGTGGCAGCTATAGAAGGACACATTCCTCCTTCTAGTGCGGAGATCATGGACGTTGGAGGCCTCCCCCCAAACCTCAATGAGGACCATGATCGCCGCACTAGTACAGGAAGGCACCCACCTTCTCCGGCCCCTGGCTGGCTCTTGGGAGCTGGGGGACTGGGCGGTGGAGGTTCTGGCTGGATCTGACTGCCCGGCTCATATTGGGGCCACTGGGTCAGTGTCAGGGTCAGTGACTGCTGGCTCTGTGTTGGCAGGCCTGTAGCTGTCACATGCAGTGTGGGCTTATAATGAGCAGTGGTAAAGAGTATCTGATTCTTCCCAAAGTGTGTTCTTGCAGGACATGAATGTAAACTATCTGGTATCTGTCATTCTACTCATTCTGTGGTTGACGCTGTATGTTCAAAAGATGCAGAGCAGTAATGTATATTCAATCTTGTCACTATTTCAAAGAGAAAATAATGGTAACATTACCTCCATGACAGGTGGTTGAGGAGGATCTTTTGTAGATTCAAGACACGATTTGTGGCTAGGATCACTAATGAAAGAGAAAACTCTAGTACTGCTATTTTTACCTGTACAACATGATTTTTGAGAGCATATTGGGTATAGAAGGATTTATTCTGACCTTAAAAAGCACTGGAACTGAATCAGCCTGTAGCAGTAACAATCATTGATTCCCTGAAGAGCTCTCTGAAGACAAATGAGGACGGAAGATGACACAGATAGCGAACTCTCCTTGCTTTTGTCCTTACATGACAATGAATCTGTTTACTCAAATGAACATATTCTGGAAACTCCATGAATGCATCCAAAAGCATAGGTGGGAAAATAACTGATTTTTGTTTGTTTGTTTGGCAATAGTTTCAAAAAAGTTTTTTAAAAAAATCAGTTGGTCCAATCAAATTTGAAATGTCAGAATGTCTTATTCATCAATAAATATATCAGCTGGTCCAATCAAATTTGAAATTTTTCAGAATGTCTTATTCATCAATAAATATTCGATTTCAGAGCTCTTCCAGAGCAGGGATTCAAACCTAGGTGTGTCACATCCCAGACGCATACCCAGAATAAAAGTGGGGGTGGGGGAAGAAAAGGGACAGAGGAAAGTACTGCTGCTGCTTTCACACAATGGCCAGGGAAAGGGAGGTGCCAGTGCTGATGTCAGTCATGTCAAGTCTCTGAATAGCTTCCCAAAAATGCACAAGTGGGTTAACCAAAACAATTTGTGAATTTGTCAAAATCACAAATTATGTTTTAATGAATAAAGCCAAAAGATATTTTTAAAAGTTTGGTTTGATATTTTGATATTTTGCATTCAAACTTGAAATGATTTCATTTTAGATGCTGCTTCAATTTTAAAAATTTTAATTAAAAAATTCAGACTAAAATTAAATGTTTTGTTTAACCCAAAATGATTTTACTTTTATGAATTGCCAAAAAATGCAAAAAAAATAATTTTGGTTCTACCCGAAATGATTTTTTTCCATTTGACCTTTGAATTAAACAAAACCGTACTTTCACACTCCAATTTTACATTTTTGCAAAATACACTCTTCTGAAAAAGTGGCTTTGCATACTTTAATGAGCTGAATAGAATCCAAGCATTAATGAGAACATTTTGGGATCATGAACATCTATATTGTCAATCTATTAGTACAGCATCTTGAAAGATGTTTGACTATGACAGGAGATTTTGACATGAGCCCAATTATTCATGCCATCAGAAAGTTGGGAAAAAATGTTCTTCATTTGTAAGTTGAATGGATCACAGATGCAAAACACCACTTTTCTAATTTTATTTTTTCATATTTACAACACTGCCAGACACTCTCTAGAGCAGATGACAAAGGCATGGGTAATAAGTCAGTTTCCTTCAAACAGAAAATTTTTCAGTGTGCTGAAGACAGGATAATTCCTAATTGTAATGACTCGAGGTATCAGTATCCAAGCGTATGATATAGACCTCAACTCGAGATTTTCATTGCAAGGCATGTAGGGCAGCATGGCTTGATGCAAAAGGCTAATGTAAGCATAGGACTTTGTGTGTGGTACCTGAGACCATTTCAAAAACTATTCACACTAAAGCATTGCATACCACCCTAAAAAAATTATATAAAACTCTCATTTTTGCTAACCCTTGTTCAGCTATGCCAGTGATAGCAACATTGAGAGCTCTAGTGTACCTGGGCCATCAAGTCCTGTCAGCATTTTAATCCATTGTGAGGATTAGACCTGGTTAGGTGACACAATACTTATGTAACCCTTCTGCTGGTATCAGTCGGCAACCAGAAGGGCTGGGTTCAATGTCTAGTGGGGTTCCTTCAACAAGCTCCTGCCAGCTGCCCTGCTGGCTGCCTGCCGCTTCTTCTACCAGCCACCCGCCAGTTGCTATGGGTCTAGCTCCAGGCCAAACTAGTGCTCTTAGAGTCCATCTACATTTGCTCCTAGTTCGAACTAGGGATGCAAATGCAGACGAGCGAAGTAGCTAATGAAGCCAGGATTTAAATATCCTGCGCTCCATTAGCATGATCTTGCCGGCACACTAGTTTGAATCACAGCTGATTCGAACCAGGAAGCGCGCGCTGGAATGCGTTAGCTCGAACCAAAACCATTTTTTGAGGAGTAACGTTAGTTCAAACCAAGGGCTTTGAATCAGCTGTGATTCGAACTAGTGTGCCGGCAAGATCATGCTAATGGAGCGCAGGATATTTAAATCCTGGCTTCATTAGCTACTTCGCTCGTCTGCATTTGCAACCCTAGTCCGAACTAGGGAGCAAATGTAGATGTACCCTTCGTGATTTCAGCTCTTAGCCACCACCTAGACTGGCCAAAAGATTCCAGCTTCTACTGAAGTAAAGACTCCTTATGGAATCTGCTTTAGGTCTATCTTTAGAACAGAGGGGAAAGGAAACAGGCTGAACCAGTCTTACAGCTCACACCTGGAGGACATGTAGCTGGCTGGCTCAAGTCCCTTCCCCCCAACTCAGTCCACTCAAATCTGGAAGGGGGAGGTTTGTTCATCGGAGACCTTTTACAATAATGGTGTCTCTCCTGCAAGCATTGGTGTCATATTTTACAGTTCCTACATTTAGGGGTAACATGGTTTGTGACCCCACAACAGCCAAATTAGTTACAATACATCATATTCCATTCCAACAATTGACCATTCATTAGGTCTGGCTGAATTGCTCACACGCCGGATTCCTTCCCCATTCCAGAATGACCTACATTTGCATATCAACAGTTAGTTATCTTGCAGGGCTAAATCATAGAAAAATAGAACCATACAGCTGGAAGAGACCTCAGAAGGTCATCAAGTCTAGCCCCCTGCTCTAGGCAGGACCAATCCCAACTAAATAAACCCGGCCAGGGCTTTGTCAAGCTGAGACTTAAACACCTCTAGGGATGGAGACTCCACTACTTCCCTAGGTAACCCATTCCAGTGCTTCACTACCCTCCTAGTGAAATAGTTTTTCCTAATATCCAACCTGGACCTCTCCCACCACAGCTTGAGACCGTTGCTCCTTGTTCTACCAT